TCCTGCTCATGCTGTATAACCGAGTCTGACTAGTCTGTATAGACTAAATTGCTTTATTATTAAATATTAGTGCGCCATACATAGTCCCTTTGACATCTTTAGGCAGATTTCCTCTTTATTGACTATACCACTGCCAATTTAAACAGCTGTGAATTGTTGTAAGTATCGCCATGATGTGATGCATAATTTCCTTTCATACTCTAAGCATTATCCACCTTCTTCTTTAATATAAATCAAATTTCTGTTTTGATCTAATTCTTGGCAAATAACTGAAAAAGCTCCAATTAGAGGCCGCATACAGTATTTGTCATCATGTAGACTTCTTACAAAGTATTTTCCATTATTTTCCAGTATTTCCATTATTTTCAAAATACAAAAATACAAGACACTAAAGTATTTTGATTATAGGTGGGTATTGATAATGTTTTAAATCTAGATGAATCTCACTGTAATCTTGAAATTAATCTACATTAATCTAGATTAAAATGGCTCATTTAAATTCTGCAAAAGGCATTCCGAATATGTGTGCCTGGTGCCGCATTAGGACAGGGGTTCATCTCCTGTTTCCAAAATGCATCACAAATTGCTTGAGAAACTGTTCTACTATGATAATTGGGGATGTTCAATAAGATGTACTTGTTTTTACTAACGGTTTATTCAGTTAAACATTAATTTTGAACTGTAGGCCTACATGAGCTCAAAACAGCGATTTTTGATAACTAAAGTCAAAACTGAACTAAACAGAAATGGAATTAAGATGTGGAGTGGGCATATAGTATAGTGACATTATTGAAGTAAACACCGCAGTCAAACTGGTACCGTCATGTAGGAGTTTTCACTGTATTTTCCAACAAGATCCATACATGCAGCTGTCAGTAAAGGACCGCACACAAACGCGAAATGAAAGTTTTTTTCTTTCCATTTGACGTGTGTTATTAAATTCCATAACACTCTCACCAGTCCTTACCTTACTCCTCATTGCGTCTAATACCCAAGTTTGTCACAGGGCATGAATAAAATGTTCATGAGTTAAAGTGAAACTGCTAAACTGCAGTTAAGTCAGCCAAAATGACAGGAAACTCTTACATGAAAGCACTTCACGTAAACACCTTAATTATATAATTGCCAATAAGGCAAATAACTAGATAACAGATGTCCATGTAAACATAGTCAGAATTAAGTGAAAGATCCAGAAGGGCATCTTGCTGATTTGATTCAGAAGGACACTTTTTTTTGTTAGACGGCTCACCGATCAGGTATACATACGTGCTAAAATATCAAGGTGAAAGTCATCATAGCTTGCATAGAATAGACCCAGCTCCGAACCGAACTTTGAGAATAGATTAACGAATAAAATAGATTTTTTTTTAATCGCGCGATAAGTCTCGAGTTAATACAGCACGGTAACGCTGATAACGGCCCACTACTAATTTTAATACAAAATATTAACCCACTTTCATTAACCCCATCAAATCTAAATTACAAAATACTATTTTGCATTTAAAATAACTATTTCAAATACATGTATCATAAATACTGCCCATCCCTGAATATAAGACATTTTAAAATACAGGTAGCTTAAATTATCTCAAACCTGGACGTTGACAATTCTTAGAATTCACAAGTTTCATTCAATTCAGAGCAAATGCATAAATTAACATTAACACGTGAACTTACAACTTAAAGAAAAGGCAGAATTGGAGGGAAAACACAGCGTTAATGCATATTTGTTTTAAAAAGTATCATTTGGGAGATATAAACTGAAAGAGTCATAATTGTGAATCTATTCTGATTCTATATACTGAAATATCATGATAATTGTGAGCCAGACTTACAAGACAAACTGTCAGAGACATTGTGAAATATGAAATCACAGTCGCTAGAGCAGGGGTGTCCAAACTCGGTCCTGGAGGGCCGGTATCCTGCATAGCTTAGCTCCAACTTCCTTCAACACACTGACCTGGAAGTTTTAGTATACCAAGAAAGAGCTTGATTAGCTGGTTCAGGGGGCTGTTCCAGAAAGCAGGTTATGTGACATACACGGGTAAGTTTGAGAGTAAGTAGGTGGATAACCTCAACTTTGGTTCCAAAATCGGAGGTAACTTCTGGGTATGTTAAGTAGCCATAGCAACTTACTCTCTGAAGATAACCTGCTCCGGAGCAGGTTATGTTCAGAGAGTAAGTTGCTATGTTTCAGAGTTTGTCTGTTTCAGAGAGTTTACTGAGCATTGCGTGCTCTTTTGATGAGAATATTTATGGATGTGGACACACAGATACAAGTTTTTTTCGTTGTGAGAGGGTTATAAGTGCATAGTTTTTTTCATAACCAAATTCATAATGTTAATGTATTTAACAAACCTTTTTGAAATCAAATGTGACAACCCGCGGGTCTGCGCTTACCATAAAAAAACATTCAGTGCAGCTCTTTGTATTCGCGTCAGGGCATTTTAGGCAACTGTACAATGTGGCATTAGGACCACCTGTACAGTATGCCTGGCACTGAACTGTCTTTTACACTTTTGTACAGTTCCTTGGTCATACATAACTGCGTATCATTACACAGATGATTCAGAGCACGGGAATAGCGTAGTGGACAGTGCGTCGATAAACAACAACGTAGCGCATAACGGAGCGAGTTCGAATCTCACTTACAGATCTTGTGTTTTTTCTCTCCTTCTGCACCCTCACATTTTTCTGTATAATATTATAAGTGGCAGCTTTGTCTTTTGTAGGAAAATATATCTGTAATTTAAGATGTAGGACGTCGTTCTTATATATACATTCACGCACACCTACATTTTTTAATATAATATTTTTTTCAGGGTTTCTAAATGCTATTGTGTGCATTAATTGCAGATTTTAAAGCTCCATCAGTCACTAAAGGACACTGATAATATAAAATGTGTCCAAAGTGTGCATAAGTGTGCAGGTACAACTTAATTTTCTATCCTTAATCTTTTGGTGTTTCAACTATTAAACTTATTACTGCTTCCACTTACCAGCTCATCACACACCCCACCTCATCACTATATGTTGAGGCTAAATGGCTGATTTTCAGGAAGTAATGATTCAAGTGTATAACACAAATATAGTAAAAAAAAAAAAAACTATAAAGCAAATGTTGCTTAACACAATGTTTAATTTTATTATATTTGTATTATAAAATAGAATCATTACTGGGCACTACATTGTTACTTGCTGGAGGACAAAAGATACCCTTTTCTGCCTTATACGATGGCACGTACCTGCAGCCTGACCCAGAGGAAATCTCAGTGACCCAAGCAGACAAAACAGATGGAAGAGTGCTAAAAATATATAATTAGTCAAAAAACTATGTTTAATCAAATGGTTATGTTCAATCAATGGTTTAATCAATGGTCTGTTCATTTCTTCATTTTCTGAAATAAAATGAATGATTTTTTTACACTGCTTTATACACGCACCTTTCAACGTGTAACATATTTTTCATATACATTTCTCACCTTAAGTTGATGCTCATGTGACTTTATCTTTGAAGATGGACCTTATACAGCTACTTTAGAATTTAAATATGTAAATAAAAGATTTTGTGATCCAAGAGTAATATTCAAATATGGAAAAGTGCAGAAAATTCTTACACTGCTTGTTAGTTGAGGCAGAAGGAACTTCGTCTGCATGCAAAATAAAAAGAACCTAAAGCTATCTGACAACAATCACTTACAACAGTGACAGAGTGTGTGGTTTAAGTCAAAAACTCAACCACTGAAAAGCCTTTATTATAGGACACAGCAGTTAAACAGGCCTCTTTCTATTAGCTGCATGTCAGAAAGAATATTCTAGAGTGTTAAATACAGAGCTCCAGTAATTAAATATTACCTTTTATGATAATGTTTCTGTGTTTAATGACTTTGGACAGAGTTCTAGCTCCAGAAAGATTACAATTTCTATAAGCCTTATTAGTCAATACACATATTGTGGCCTTAAGAAATTAATGGCAAGAAAAATAAATGCATGAATGGTTACACAACATACTCAAAAAGGATGTTAAAGAGTAGTTTAATTTATCATTACAATAAAATGGAGGGTGGCATGTGTAATTTAATGAACTAATAAATTTTCTTATTATTTATTTTCTTATCTATTTTTTATTCTATATTTCTTTCCTTCGTTGAAGCAGATGTGTAATCTCTGTGTTTAAAACCTCCAGCTTCGCCTCTGTAAAGTGCATTGCCCTTTTTTTTTCTCACCGATACTTTCTATGGTGACTCGTGAATTCGGCGATCTACTGAAAATGCCTTCAGGTGTGTGCCGTGCACGCGCATTAACCCGCGGTTATCTTCAGGAGGTTGATTTAACTAACTCTTGTCACCTGTTTTGGAACCAACATACTCGCGGTAAGCAGGTTTTGGGTAAATCAACCGAGAGTTTAGGTTTTAGCAGATGGTAAGTTAACCCAGCTTTCTGGAATACCCCCCAGGTGTGTTTAATTGAGGTTGTAACTAAAATATGTAGGACACTGGCCCTCCAGGACAGAGTTTGGACACCCTTGCGCTAGATATAAAACTTAGAATTATTAGAAATAGTCAGGACTGCAACTATTTTTTACAAGTGTGTATATATTTTAATTTAATTTGGCATTTTTATGTGTATCGTTGTTTTTAGAAAATGATGTGGGCTTTCATAAACTTTCTGGCAACAAATGTTTTGTTGCAATTTTGATTCTCTGTTTTAAAAAATATTAATATGACAAACTCTATAGATAGATATAGATATAAATTTATATTAGGCAAAAGTCAGAACTGTGAGTGTAGTTGTTTCTGGCATTTATTTTTCTCACAATTTTAAAGCTTAAAAATAGATTGAAACTAGCTTCTATGGAGGCTTTATAGGGATCCACTATTTAAAAAACATTAGTATAAAAGCCCATATGAGAGTTATATCTGTTTATATCTGTTTGTCTCATTATATCAGAGCAGTTACTTGAAGATTAACCAATAAACTCAAATGTTATTCTCCTTCAGCATGTCTTATAAAATTGGAAATGACACAAGCTCAGTTTTGACTAATACAACTACCAATGGTAAGGGCTTTGCATTAATAAAAAAGATTATAAAAGTGTCTTGTAATATAGGCCTATGATTGTAATTTAATTAGTCTTTTTTTTTCAGTCAATGATTACCAGCAGATTGACACTGGTCTTCGGGCACGCAGTGGAGCAATGGTGGTGATCACTGTCATCCTGTCTCTGGCCATGGTGTTCCTCCTGGTTGGCATTATTCTCGTCTTCTTCTTCTTCTCTGGCTGAGCTGAACATGACCAATATTTTATCAAGTTTTTTTTTTTTTTTTTTTTTTTTTTAAGAATAGACATGTATTTCAAATAAACTGAAATCTCAGAGACAGGACAACCACAGAATTCTAATGCTGCGACACATTTTAATTAAATAAATCATGTTGTTTGATATAGATTTTAAGACTTGTTTTTTTTTACACATAAATGCATTTCTATGCATAATAATTTGAACTGAAAAGTTTATCTGTACAGGAGAGACAGTTTATTTAAAGAAATCATGGTTTTACATTAAAAATATGGCTATTGTAGGTAAATCATGGTATATACACAACACAAAGCTTACAAAATTAGTGAGTTTCACAAGTCATTTTCATCATTTTTACAGGTCACAAAAAATGTTGTTTGTCTGCCAACTAGAAAAATAGCATTTGTGTAAAACAAAGGTTCTCAATCCTGGGAATGAGGACTCACATTGAGAAACACTGGTGTAAAACAAAGAGATGCAGGTAGTGAGGAAAATATAAAGTCAAATTTCCAGCACATTCAGTTAGAAGTCGTTCAGCGAAAAGGGACACAATCCAATTAAGTTTTAAATATAGAGATTTTGACTTTGATTTCAGCAGGGCTCCAAATCTTTTATGAACCCACACAGAGTATTTTTTTTTACTCTTTCAGCTAAAATATATAGCAACGAAAAAAAAAAAAAAACGTGCTCATTGTTTACATTAAATACTTTGCCTTCAGAGACAGCATTCCAAGGGAGGAAGGCGTCAATAAAGGGTCAGAATCCAAATACTGCACCACTTAAATCACTGGAGCTTTTTTCTTCTGATTGAATTTAGAAGTTATCATATGTCCTTCACTTATTTTCATATCCCACAATCCTGTGAATTTCTTTTCGGTAACACTTTATTTTGATTGTCCATTTGAGTATTAGTAGACTGTATGCCTAATATCTGTTGATAACGATCCTTCAACACACATTTAACTGGCTATAAGAAACTTTGCAAGTACATGTCAACATACACTAACCCTAACCCCAACCTAACAGTTTAATTATAATCTATTGAGAATTAGTTGGCATGTAGATGCAATGTAACTTAAATTCAACAAACGAACCATCAAAAAGTTTGACCTTTTCTGACAGTTGACCTAAAAATTAGTAGTAATAATTAGTAGCTGTAATTAGTTTTGTAGTGAGAAAATATTCCCTTAGTTATCACCGAAAGTCTCTACAGCAGAAAAGAGCATAATTAAATTGTAATGTTTGTTTGTTTGTTTACACGTTTAATTGTCCCCAATGGGGAAATTTGTCTTGGACCCTAGGCCCACATTTGCATACACCGAACAAAAACAGACAACACAAATATTTAATTAACACAAATATTACATATTTAAAAGTCTAACTGACAAATAACATTTGAATAGTTTCATCAAGAATTAATAGCTCATATGACAATTCCAATGATTACCTTTTCCCAATGATTCTCATTGCTGACTTCAAAACCACCAAACCTTCAAAGATTGGCTTTAGATTGAACTATTTCCATACCAGGCAGTAAATCCATAACTTATTATGCTTTCAATCTTTGTAAAATAAAGTCTTAACTTTTTGCTGTACCACAAAAACTCAGTAAAAAAATGCAATCTGACCTGAGTTATGCTGCCTCAGAAGTCTGTCTAAAATCAGTTTGAGCCTGGTGCCTTTATGCTGCCTGCAAAGGCACTGCCTAAAAACAAGGCAACAAGTTAAGCTGCCAAAGATTTTTAAAGCTGCCATTGTTTTCTAAAAGAGTAAGTTAATATGGACCATGCGAATCGGCTTCATGTCGAGTTGCATTTTGCCATGTTTTCTGACTCTTAGGAGTAGGCAAAACCAGTGCAAATCACCATTAAAAAGCTGGTCGTTTTATAACACACATAGTACTAAAATACTCCAAAAATAATAATACAAAAAAACATCTTTAATCTTTTGAATCGTTGTGATCAGCGAAAGCTCGTCGAACACTGTTGAATCCTAATGAAGCTTAATGATTACCACCTGTGGAAATTAAACACAACATCGCATATCTTTCTTAATACTATACCAACCATATATCGTTGGATATAAGAGATAATAAGTTAACGAACGTTTTGCTGAATGTTTTTTCATAGTCGATAAAATGTTTTTACAACTTCAGTCTAAAAGCAAGTTTCTCGAACTTCATTTAACCAGCGGCTTACACGACTGGGATATGAATGAGGAAATAAAGCTGACGACGACGACCGATCAATTTTACCACGGTAAATCAACCCATTGAGTGATTGCGTTAGAAGTGTGTGTGATTTCCAGTTGTCTGAATGAAGTGTGTGGCTCGTCAGATGAGAAGCGGACTGACCAGTATTTGGCGCAATGGCATTACGCCAGAATCTCGAGAAGATCCTCTTTACCAGCCGCGCACAGGAGCCTCGAACTCCCCCACAGAGGTGTGTGTCTGTTGGCTAAAATCACTGCACCACCTCTGCAGTTTATCATACACAAATCACCCAAAGCAATTTCTTCCTTATGTCAGAGGATTTAATTTTTATAATGAGGCGCAAATATGATGGTTCACTTAAGAAGATTGTTTATTTATTTAGGCTTTTAATTAATAAATATTTAATTTTTCTTTGAAAGTTTCTATATTTTGTAGTGTATTTAATAAGTGAGTGTTCAATTTGTTTGTTTCTATTTGAATTCTATTTATATATTTTAGCTTTTATTTGAGTGTTTTTTATTTTGGTCATTTAGTTTGAAACTAGCTTTATAAATATATTACTTAAATCAGTTATTGTTTGAATGCTTTATTTTTTTTGTATATGTAATAATATGGTTTTAAATTTTATTAATTAACTTTAGTTTATTTTTATACTTATTTAGTTGTGTTATATTTATGTATTTCATTTATTTAGTTTTGTTGTTGTTTCCTATTTTATTTTTATCATTTGTAAATATTTTGCTTAGCTGTAAACTATAAACTATATGTATAAAACTCTGTTTTAGGCCTTCAAGAATTACAAATTATCCTGTAAAATCGCACTGGATTCTCTAAGAAAGAATATAAGAATGCTGTGTGCACATTTTCTAGTTTTGTTTAATCCCCCCAAACATCTTGTTACTGTGCACTTCAAACATTGTATTTTCATTGTTTCTTGCCATTTTTGTCCTCTAAAGATCCTGAAATCCAGCCAAATCTATGGTTGATGGTGAATCCTAGTTTAGCTTGCCCCATAAAATACCCTAGTAACCTACCTAAAATGACAACCCCACCAAAACCAGCAGTGCCAAGAAGCAGCACACCTGTTTCAGACCCGCCGCTGCTGCCTGACGAGACCTGTCTGAATGAGTCTGTGCAGGACACCTCTGTCTCCAGCGAATACCAGGTGTGTTTTTAAATGCACAAACACACCCAGAACTCCATAAAATCAGCTTCTTGAAATAACCATATAGCTGAATTAAAAATGATTTGCCTCCTGTAAATGTCTTTTTCTTTAAATATTTCCACATTAATATTGGACAGAGCAAAGAATTAAAAATAGTATTTTCGGTAATATTTTTTCTTCTTTAGAAAGTCTTATTTGTTTTATTTCAGCTAGAATGAAAGCAGTTTTTAATGTGTTTAAAGCTATTTTAAGGTCTATATTATTTGCTCCCTTAAGCAATCTTTTTTTTTCTTTCTACAGAACAAATCTTTGTGGCTTGCCTAATTACCCTAACTTGCCTAGTTAAACTTATTAACCTTTAAATTGCACATGCTTTGGAATAGAAGTGTCTTGAAAAATATTATTTACTGTCATCATGGCAAAGATGCAAGAAATCACGTTATTAGAAATGAGTTATTAAAACTATTATGTTTAGAAATGTTGAAAAAAAATCTTTCCATTAAAACTGGGGGGAAAAAATAAACAGAGGGACTGATAATTCAGGAGGGCTAATAATATTGACTTCAACTGCAAATCAATAAATCACAAGTAAACCATGTTTAAAATATTTTAATAATAAATCATAATTATTTAACTTGCCAGGCTTTAATTTATGTTAGTTATTGTTTTAATCATTACAGCTTTATTTAATGGTTTGGTACTAATTTTATAAGCAAGTTGTACATTTTCAAATTTCTCTGTAAAAAGGTTAGATCAGTTTAAAGTTTTGTTTTATGCAGATTGTGTCAAGGATGAAGTGAAATAAAATTATATCACTAGGTATTCTTTTAAAACATGATGATTTAATTGTAGTTGCACATATTTTCATTCCACATAATTGTTTACCCCCCCAGAAAATAAGGTCATGTTGATATTATGTTTTGGAGATTAAATAAAATAATCTCAATAAATAATACAATCTTTCTTTCAACTTAATATTAACAATCCATTCTTTCAGTTGCAAACAATAAAGAAAATACAGGTTTTAAATCACCCTCGATGCTGAATAAATGGTACTGTGCGGTGAAACCGTAAACACAGCCATCACTACATTACACTCGTTCATTGACAAAAAGCTTATATTTATTTATTTATTTATTTTACATTATTCCGAGACTGTAATTTTGTAAAGTAGCTAATTAATTTGACAGTAACTATTATTATTACAGTTTGGCAGTAACTTGCCCAATACTGCATTGTAAAAATAATGGATTTATTAGATAATGAGTAATGTGGATTTTTTAAAATGTATTTAGTATAATTTTTTAGGAGGCTTGTTTACACACTTGCCTCTATTTAGTTTGATTTTATAACTTAAATTTAGTATTTATTTTGATTTTGTTTTATATTTAGAGTTTAGAGTTTTATTTTTTAAATAATTATATTTTAGCTATTGATAATATTATTTATTATATTTTATTTCTGAAATTAGCATTTCTATTCATTTCATTTGTTTTATTTAATTATATTTTGAACTGTTTAGTTTTGCTTATTTTACTCATTTGATTTGGTTTTATTTTCTTTTTTTGCATATATGTATTTCTCTAATATTATATTTCTATAATTCATTCATTCATTTATTTTTCTTTGGTTTAGTCCCTTTATTCATCTAGGGGTCACCACAACAGAATGAACCGCCCTTTATTATTATTATTAATAATATTATTATTATTATGTGGGGACGTAGTGTCGCAGTGGGTAGCGCTGTCACCTCACAAGGAGGTCGCTGGTTCG